CCTGACGGCGGCGGAGCATCCTGGGGGTCCCCAGAAGCCCGCCCTGGACCCAGCGCTGCGCCCGAGATCCTGGGGAGCAGGGTTTCCGACGCGAATCCCTGGGGGACACCCCATTACTGCCCCAAGATACAGTCGCCCATGCACCAGCCCCTGGGGAGAGCCCCCGACGCTGCTCTTTGGATGCCGCCCCAGGCCAGTGCGGGAACACGGCGGTCCCCAGAGCCGGCAAGCGCTACTGTGCCCTGGACGCCCCCACCTGCGCCCCCGGAGCTGGTGGCCCTGTACCAGGTACGCACTGCAGCCCTGACCCCTGCGTGGCCCTTCGGGGGAGCCCTGGGTCCAGTGGGAAATGAGTGGGTGGGTAGTGTTCGCAGAGGAGTCCAACTTTCCAGATCCCAGGTATCTTTAATGGAAGGGAGGGTGGAAGGGATTCAAACCTCCTTGAGGGAACAGATGAAGGATGGCCCTTCACTTGCTCAGAGGCCAGGGTGAAAGCCTCGGCCAGGAGCTGCACTGTCAAGAAATTTTAAGCATTCCTTTAAGGGATCAGCGCTGCCCAAATAGATGGCCCTGGAGTTGGAACCGTCATGATTTCTGCAGGTTTCATCCATCCATTTACTTCTGAATGATTTGTTGTCTATAAAGGGTCATATTAATAACCAAAAGTTGCTGGATATGGTGACACACACCTGTAATCCCAGCCCTTGAGAGGCTGAGGCAGGGAGTATTGCAAGTTTAAACTCAACCTCGGCAATTTAGCAACTAATACTCTGTAAGAGTATTAAAAAGGGAGGGGGGCTAGGGATGTAGCTCACCACAAACCCTGGGTTTCATCCTTAGTATCATAAAAAACAAACAAAACCAAATAACCAGACTTTATTAAACACTTCCTGTCTGTCCCCCACTGTTCTTAGTACTTTGTATGTCTTCTTTCTGCTCTTCTAACAGCTCTGCAGAGTGGGCATTAGCAGCCCCACTTTACAGATGAGAAAACTGAGGTTTCCTGAGTTTGCCTAGCTACGAGTAGCAGCACTGGCGTCTGAGGATTGGCAGTGTACTTTAGAGCCTGGGCTGCTGACCACTTTGTTCCCTGCATCTGGGGCACCAGTGCTGTCCAGACCTCACCAGTCATGCGCCGGGATCACCCCACTCACAAACTCTTCTCTCCTGCAGGGGATCTCAGTGTCACCAGAGCCCTGTCTGTCACTGGGGAGCTCACCCCTCCGGTCCCACCCTTCATGCCAGAGACTCCAGCCTCAGACCCCATGGAGGTGCTGGGGCCACAGTGCTGAGCTGCTCCCCAGCTCAGAGGTCCAGGGATCTGGGCCCGCCTTCCAGCCTGGTGATGTGAGCTCTTCCCAGCCACCAGGCCTTCGGCTCAGCAGCTGCCCTGAACTTTGGCAAGAAGATTTGGAGGAGACCCAAATGGGCATCTTCTACTAATGGCCTTTCAGGCCCCCTTTTCAGCCTGAAGTAAGGCCCACCATGTGAACACTGGTTATATACTTCTTCAGGGGCTTTTTAAGCTTTCCTTTGCCAAAGTCCCTGTGCCTATCACAGAAAGTGGCAGGAACAGATAGTGTCTGTCCTCCCCGGCCACAGTGGGGCCCTCCACTGCCGGGAACTGCCTTGCAGAGACCTGTGCACTGCAGAGCACAGTCCAGGTTGCTCTGACCGAGGCAATGCTGGGCTGGGACTGGTGGGAAGGGTGTGGGAGCTAGGCCTGTGCCCTGCCTCTGGGTAACAGTTGGCCAGAATCCTGTATGTTAGATACTCTGTCATTCTTTAGAAAAACAAAAACACGCCTAGTGAAAATTTGGTTTGGTCTGTTTTCTTCTATCGATATAAATTTTTCTAGGTTTTCCTGGAAAGGGGGAACAAGTCCTGCTGCTCTTCCCCTTCTTGAATCCAAACCTGTTGTGGTTGACATGGTCCTTGCCTGTCCCAGTGTTTCCTGTGCCTGGGCTTTGGCTGCCATGTGTGCAGGGTGGCACAGGTGGCTGAGGGTTGTCACCCACACACCACCTCCACTCCTTCTGAGTTTTGCCTGCTGATCGTTGGGGGGCTTCACGTAGTTATGGACAAACAGCCCCAGACTGGGACCCCTTTGCTTGCCAGTGCCTTCATAGCTGTGTGACTTTCTTTTCAAAGGATGCTGTGACTGGCTTCCATATACTTGCTCCTGAGGCCTCCTTGGCTTACAGATGGCCTCCTCACTGTGTCGCTTGTGTCCCACCTCTTCTTGGAAGGGAACACTTCCTAGAGGGATCCCAATCCTACTGGGTTAGGGCCCACCCTAAGGACCTCATTTACTCTTATTACCTCTTTAAAGGATCTCCAAATTCAGCTGCATTCTGAAGTACTGGAGGTTAGGCCTTATATTAGCTTTTCATCTCTCTAACAAAATACCTGTGGTACATTATAAAGAGAAAAGGTTTGTTCTGGTTCATGGTTCCGGTGGCCCCAGGGTGACTGAGTGGCCCGATTGGTGTGGACCTCTGCCAAGGGCAGTGAATCGCAACAGGAATGTCTGGACAAACAGGAGGCAAAGAGCAAAAAGGGTCAGTGTCCTGCAGTCTCCTGTGGTGGCCGCCACCACTGGCCTCAGAATCTCCCACAGACCCCACCTGCTAAAGGTTCCATCACCATCACCTCCCAGTAGCACCACCCATGGACTTTTGGGAAACATCCAACATCCAATCTAGAGCAATGCTTAAACAGGAATTTTAGAAGGACACAGTTCAGCTTGGAACTAATATTAAGGACTCTATAACTGTGGGTAAACTTTGAAATCTCCCTGCCTCAGCCTCGGGAGAGTTTGTACCACCACACTTACCTAGCTTTTCTTTAACATCAGAATTCTTACACTTGACATATAGTGAGTGCTCAGTAAAAGGCATAGCTGATTAGAAACATTGCCTAAGAGATGACCTAGTCAAGGGGCTCCTAAACCTGCTGTGTGTTAAGTCACCTGGATCCAGGGCCAGTTGCACCATGAGTGATCAATTTAGTATGCCAGGTCTCTAAGATCCTCTCTAGGAGTCGCTGAGGCCCAGCCAGGTTAGGGAGTAATGGATCTTCTTCATCCCTTCTTTTCATAGTTGGGGAAACAGGTCCAGGTGGGGAAGCAACTTCCCACAGCCCCTCAGCTAGGTGTGGATATCAGGCACCTGACTCCTAGTCCAGTGCTCTCTCCTTCCTGAGGAGACCTACGGTCTTTGTCCACAGGTGCAGGACATCTGCACCGCAGGCAGAGGTAGACAGCTTCTCACTTCCTTTCTGCAGCCTTCGCCCACTGTTTCCCCAGCTCTGGGCCCTGTGAGGGATTGGGTGGAGCCCAGGACCAGACAGGCCACCAGCTATAGCCAGATATGAGTGTCTCATGCTTGTGGGCTGAGGCAGCCTCGCTCCCCAGCTCCCTCCACATGATCCTGGGGCAGAGAAGGCAGAGGCGAAAAGCCAGAAGCACACTGTGAAGCCACAGCCAGCTGCAGAGGCCTGGGACACACCCTGCATGCCTCTGCTGCTGCTGTAGTGAGGGGAGCCTCACCATGCACCCTCTGGGAGGGGCAGCCCAGTGTGGCCTTTCAGAACAGCGACCCCTCCTAGATCCCCCTCCTACCTTATCCCTTGTCTGTGGCTCTTGATGCAAGACCTGGGCAGGCTGCCCTGCACTGCGCCTCTCTGCTGAGACCCAGCAGGGGAGAAAGAGAGGCTGATGTAGGCACCTGGCCTGGGATGAGTGGTTGACCCACATCTTTTGGGGACCCTGGGCACCACCTGTAAGGGACTGGACACCCGCTGAGTGTCTCACCCGCCCCACAGCAACCAAGAAATATAGAAGATATGCTGGGCCCAGCAATGAGAGGATGCTCTGATTTTGTACGTGGCCCTCAAGGCTGGAAGAAGCTGTATTACTTGGCACGGGGGTGTTGAGAGATCACCTCTGGCTAGCCCCTGCCTTCTGCCTTCTGTAGATGCTGCTGGCCTGGGATTTGGAGTGTTCCTTTATTGGTCAGCAGGGCCTGAAGAGGGAATCAGCAGCCTGAGGTCTGTTAGTTTTGTGTAGTATCTTGACCAGGGCTCTGCAGGTGGTGGGTCTTTGGGCCACATGGGTCCTTATGAATGCCAGCATTGTACACTGAAGTCACGGTGTGCCCATGTAATGTCACAGACCCTTGGCCAGCTCCAAACGAACCTGGGCTCGCCCTGTGCGCAGCACCCCTGACTGTAGGACAGAGAGAACTGAAGGTGCAGCTTAGCAGAAGACCTCACATGTGAGGCCCTGGGTTCCAGCCCCAGAACCCACCGAGAACTATCTTAAAAACTAAAATACTCATTTTTAAAAAGCCAAGTTAGGGCCAGGGATTTAGCTCAGTGGTTCCGCCGCCTGCCTCACATGCAGAAGGACCTGGGTTTGATCCCTGGTACCAAAAAAAAAAAAGCCAGGTTAAAGGTGGTCTTCACTTAGGGTCAGAGAGTGTGTCAACACATTACTCTCTGAGCACAGAGACTAACAGGATCTGGCAGTGCTCTCCAGCAGGCTGACTGTCCCTAGCAGTGTCCAGGGAGCACTGAGCCCACCAGGAACCCAATGCTGAGGCTGCCCCTCCCCCATCCGGGCTCCAGAAGGTCAAGTGCCAGCCATGGCCGCTGGGTGCTGGCGACAGGAAGGGCTGGCCCAGAGTGGAAGGGTTGGGGGATTTAATTTGGGGCGACCCAGGGAGCTTCCCCGACGGGCCTCCGCCCCACCTTTGATGTGCAAATGGCAGCAGGAGCCCGGAGCCTTCCAGGCCCCAGCCGCTGCTTCTCACACTGGAAAGGGCTGGGAGGCAGCTGTTGGATTTCCAGTTGGAATCCCGGGCTAGGGACACTAGCAGTCCACTCTCCTGCGAGGTCTGTGGCTAGGAGATCACTGCTGTCATGCTTATGAGGAAACTGAGGCTTAGGGTTCAGATCCCTGACTCCAGAAAGAGTTGTCCCACAAGATTCCAGCTGAGGACCTGGCTGTGGGTGGCAACTGGAGATGACCCAAGTTCCAGCAGCTGCCCACGACCCCCTTCTCTCCCTACCCCCAAGCCTTGCATACTCGGCAGGGCCTTGTGGGGCCCCGGCCAGGGTCAGGGTGAGCTCCCCACAGCCCAGCTCCAGCTTTGGGCCAAGAAACACCCTGGGGCCACCAAGGAGCTGCACCTTCTTCCCAGCACCGGCCACCAGATCACCTGCAGAGTGCAGCTTCCCATGCTGCGAGAGTCATAGCTCTCCATGGGCCGCTCTGGAAGACACCCACCCCTCTACCAATTGTTATCCTGCCACCTTAGAGCCTGAAGAGGTAATGAGGCAAGGGGTAGTGGCTGCAGGCTTGGGGACTCTCCTGCCCCTCAGTGCTGTCACTGCCTTGTGGGTTAGCATGGGTTCTTGCTTTTAGTACCGATAGAAATTAAAACTGCAGCACTATTCCACAACTTGGGGGCTGAGGCAGGAAGATTGCAAAAGTTCAAGGTCAGCCTAAGCTACATGGTGAGTTCAAGGCCAGTCTGTCAAAATGAACAAATAAACAAAAAATGATAGTACAAATTAATAGGAAAAAGCTTTAATTGGAAAGTCAGAAAAGCAGTAAAGGATGTTAGCTTGAGGAGCTAAGATCAGGCCACTCGAAAAGGCAGGAGCCCAGCTTTAGGGATCAGCTGGGCTGGGCTGCACTGATGATTAGTTCTGGAATCCTCATGGTTGAGGTTCCAGCCTCATGAAAGGTGAACTTCAGTCACGCGGGCCTCTGCTCTTCTGGAATCCTGGTGATCGGGTTTAGGAAGTTTAGAAACTTCTGGACATAGTTGGTTGTCCCTGTAAATCTTGTCCCAGTTGTCTTTAGTCTAAGGGAGATGAGATCACTCAACCTGGGCTCCCACCTTCTAGACAGACCTCCCTTAATGGCCTAGAGGGATTAGACCCAGATTCACAGTAATAAAATGAAGGTCAAGATTTGTCCTGCTTTTAGTTGTCTACTGGGCATTTGTAGGCCCCAGTGAAGAGTCATAGTTTTTAGTAAAAATTACTTTTAAGTCCCTGGATACCTTAAGAAAAAACCCAAACCAAGCTCTTCAGAAGTAACAGGTAAAGGCCCAGGATTCACTATCCCTACGGTGATCTCTGACTGTGTCATCTCTATGGTTCCAAGTGTCTCTGGGGCTCCTGGGGCAGGAAGAGGTGCCCCTGCCAGCACCCAATTCCCTCGCCTTGTGTTGGGGTGGTGCTATTCATCTTCCATCTGCCAGGACTGTCTGCCTGGTACGGTGACAGCTGTTGACCGTAGTCAATGGTAGTTAGACATTAGCAGGCCCGAGGGACAAAGGAGTGATGGGGTCCACAATAGCTGCACCCGTTGTAGTTAAGAAAAGACCAAAGTGTGAGGTACATTTACAGTGGACCCTTAACTTACGAACTCAATTCATTCTACATGGCTGGTTGTAACTCAGGTCAGTCAATTGCAGGCTCAGTCTCTTCCACACAGCTTTCAAAGTCTCTCTCCTGTATATAGGCACATCTCAGTGTCCTTAAAAAGATACTGGCCCAGTATTTCTCAGTTAACCCTATACAAGAAAAGATGTTGTAATGTTCCTTCCAGAACTCTGTAAGGGTTAAATGTGTATCTGAGACAATCTGGAAGCACAAAAAGCCAGCATTCAGGACATAAATCAATACTTTGGTTGTAAATTAAAACTAAAATTCAGGCCAGGGATTTAGCTCAGTGGTTCTGCCGCCCACCTTGAAAGTGCAAAGTCCTGAGTTCGACCCCTGGT